TGTACCTTGTGGGACTAGGTAAGGTGCCCGGAATAAAGCTAGCAAGCCCAAATAAGAGAAAGGGCTGTCGGGCTGGCTGCAGTAAGAGGCAGTAGAAAGGGAGGCACCCCTTGGTTTTATCATGTTCCCTGCCCCCTAGCTCCCTATGTTCTGATTCCACTAGGTGGCAGAGTGCAGTAGAGAAAAACCACAGAAATTAGACAGTTTTGGAAGGGCTTCAAATGCTGTAAAAAGTTTGAACTTTTTCTGTTAGAAGTGAGGATCCTCTAAAGGTTTTTAGCAGAAAGTGACTTGATAGAGGAAAATAACTTTAGCATAACTAACTATAGAGAATGTCTTAATGGTGGGGGAGGCCTTTAGGGCAGGACATCCACAGACGATACCACCATAGTGATCTGGCTGGAAAGTAAAGGAGGTCTAAACTGGGATAGAGTACACAGTAAACACCACCACAGGAAACATTTGGAGAGGAACAACCCACAGGATAACAGGTCTAATCTTGGCACAAAGTCCTATTTGGAGGGGCACTGGGTTGAAAAGGAGACTTAAAAGACAAACATATACAAAGGTGACCCTTAATTAGAATCTGGTCCAAAACTAACAGCTATAAAAACTTGATGAAACTATTATTAGTCAGCTAGGGCTGCCATCACAATACCACAGACTGGATGGCTTAACCAACAGAAATTTATTTTCTCAAGTTATAGAAGCTCAAAGTCCAAGATCAAGGTGCCGGCAGGATTGGTTTCTGGTGAAGCCTGTCTTCCTGGATTACAGTTGGCTGCCTTGCTTTGTCCTCACACAGCCTTTTCTCTGCACGTGGAGGAAGAGGAAGAGAAAGAGATGACTTTTCCTTTTTTCTTTTTTTTGTTACAAGTCCAATCAGTGACAAGTTATGACTTCATTTAACCTTAACTACGGGCCCTATCTTCTAGTATAGTTACATTGGGGGTTAGAGTTTTAACATACGGATTTAGGAGGGCACATAATTCAGTCCATAATGGAAATCATTGGGGAAATTTGAATGACTGGGTATTAGACAATGTTAAGGAATTATTGTTGATTTTCTTAGGTTTGGGAATGGTTTTGTGACTATATTCCAGAGCTTACCAGTGACTTCTTTGTCCATTCTTCCTCTTAGTGGTGGTGTGATGATCTACTTTGACAGAATTGAAGTGGTGAATTTCCTGGTCCCAAGTGCAGGTACAGTTTTCCAGTTGACCCCCACCACCAGCTTACTTTCCCCAAGATGCTACCCTAGTGTCTGTTGCAGCACCTCAGGAAGGAAGTACTTCGATGTCTGAGAAAGGTTTTTGGGTTTTCTTCCCTTTTTATTGAATTTACTAGAGGCACAGTGCACAAATTCATGCACAGGTGTGGTCCGGCCAGCCTGGCCCTGATCGGGGCAGATCAGGGCCAGGCCTGTCAGGAGAAGGAGA